TATATATATATATATATATATATATATATATATATATATATAAACAAAATATATTTGATCTATTTTATCTTATATATGTGGTGAGTTATTAAAAATTAAGTAAATGAAAGGAAAGATAACTATTTTAATTGAACTCTTCTGCACACGCTGCTCTTGTGATCAACATACAAGTTATTTCCAGAATCGCTTTTTGTATTTAACCTATTGGAACTGATTTAAGAAGACAAAGGTGCTTTCCTCAGGAAAAACTCATACTTAATAATTAGTTCGGCTTCTTGTAATGAACGATTTTATGTCAATTATAAGTATACCACTCATTGATTGAAAATAAACTTACTGGTCATAGAGAAAATACCAATAGAACTTTTTTAATTATATAAGTATTATATTTAATTAGATAAGTCCAATTGCATCGGTTTACGATCTACGATCATATAAATTTGTAAGTTATTAATTAGAGAAAATTAGTAATTATCGTGCACAATAATATAACAATCTCCTTTGATTAATAGCTGAAAATTTATGTAGATATTTGCAAAATAACAGCACTATTTTTTGTTTAGTTCGACCTAATGTATAAGCACACGGAAGATACATTGCCTTCACAGCTCATCTATCATATCGTGCGTGATCACATTCATCAGTTTTTTTTTAATTAATAACTCAAAATTTTATGTTTTTACTCACGAAATAGTAGAACAACTTGGTAAGTTCTATCTGCATACAACAGGTAAATTGTCAGACATTCTGTATATATAGCATGACTTCAACTTCAATTTCAATAAGTGGCTCCAGACTTTCTAAGAATTATATACAGCATATTTAACCCTACAGTCATCGCATGGGGTCTTTAAGAGGATATTATATCCAAAATAGTCTTTTCTTATATTTTACATGAACCCAAAAACCTAATTAAACAAAGAAAATATTTAATATAAAAGATTCATTTCTCAACATAAAAGATATAAAATAATTTTTTATATTGGGGTTTCTCAGAATCCCATGCGTCGACTCGTGTTCGAAAAGTAACGTGACGACTGTAGAGGTAAAGAGCGAATTTTCGACGTTTAGAAATCAAAACGATTGTCATTTCGTTGCTAATCGACTAATCGAATCGTGACGAATGCAGTACGTCTGATCTCTATTTATTGCGTGAAAAATAATCAATTCAGCTTCTAGTGAAGAACTGAACTAAATGAGAACTAGGAAAATATGTGTAACAGTAATGATGAACTCTTCACGTGCTGTGTGACTCGATTCGTATAACGTTATTAACAAAAAGTGACAATTTTCAAAGAAATTAATATCAACCGTCGATTTTCGATTCGTGAAATCTTTGAGGAAATTGTTCCTTTAATAACGAGAGACGGATATTTGAAGAATGCACTCGGTATGGACGAAGGCAAGATTATTGTTTTACCGATGCGGCGTCAAAATGCAAAACCACCTATTCATGCGTTACCGTGGATTCGCTCAAGAAGCCGTCGTAGAATCGGTATAATATATTTGATAAATTTATTTTATTAATAGTGCATATTGCCAAAGTTTATTTGGTAAACTCTTTCTACAAATCATCTCATATTTTCTTTTTTTTATGTAATTTTTCACGTAATTCTGTTTATACGTAAGACTTTACAGACTTTTTTACAGAATTAATTTAATAATATGGATATAAAAAAATTTACACTTCCACAAATATGACGCTAGTAGTGAACGTATTACTAATGATTATTATTAATAAAATAATTATAACAGTTATATTATAATTTATTTTATTAATCGAACTAAAATTTTAAAAAAGCCTAAAATAAAACAGAAAATCATGATGACGTCGAAATAACGAGAAAATGATTAAATCGTGACTGAAAAGTGAGCTTTTCAATCGTTTTCTCATCATTTTGATAACATTTTGACTTCATCGTGATTTCTAAGTTATCTCTCTTTTCTTCTTTAATTAAACATACACTTTCCCTCTTTCTCTCTCTACTTCTATATCTTTCTTTTTCTCTCTCGCAGAAATTCGACTTGTATCGTTTGGACAAAGGGCCGTCTGAGAAATCGACTTTGCTGAAAGACGAAGCCACTTATGCCCTGAAGACAATGAATTACATACGTCGGATGGAGAATAAAGCCGCGGACTTGTACCGACTGCGGCTCATCAACGGCTTCCTGCATCTGTACGCCGGTCAGGTAACCGTGAATCCAAGGGATCGCGAAACAATGTGCGTCATTGTCGGGACATGCAATTGTGTCAGAGTGAAATTCGAGCGTGTACTAACGATGCCTCGCGTTGCGCCTCCGTAGGAAGCCGTGGTCGTAGGCTTGAGAATGGCTATGCACAAGGAGGACACCGTTATCACTGCGTACAGGTGTCACGGTTTCGCCGTGGTGTTCGATATCCCTGCTCGCGCGGTTTTCGCGGAGCTCATGGGTCGCAAAACCGGCGCCACCAAGGGCAAGGGTGGCTCCATGCACATGTACGCGCCAAATTTTTACGGCGGCGACGGCATTGTCGGCGGACAGGTAGACTCTTTACCACTTGTGCGCGACCGGATGTGTTCCAGAATTCTAAATTAGTCTCGCGATATTGCAGGTACCGATCGGCACCGGCATCGCGTTGGCGCACAAGTACAACGGCACTGGTACTGTGTCCTTCACATTGTACGGAGACGGCGCGGCGTCGCAGGGTCAGCTCTTCGAGGCCTGGAACATGGCGAAGCTCTGGAACCTGCCGGTGGTTTACATATGCGAGAACAATGGATACGGCATGGGCACGGCCGTGCATCGGCACTCCGCCAATACGCGGCTCTATACACGCGGAGACCTCATACCGGGAATAAGAGTAAAATAACGCCTTCCAAGAAAAAAGTTATTATATATAATCATTAAAGTTAGGTAGTAATTACACACAGAAAAATATCATCTTAGAAAAAAACATACACTTAGAGAAAAACATGGAAATGGCAATTACACACTGAGAAATCATCTGATAAAAAATTAACAAACAAATATTTCCGATCAAAATACCGGTGAATTTATGTATTATATCATGAAACACCCGATAAGAAATATCATTTCAGTTTCAGTTTGATTTATGTATGAGATATCTCTCAATGAGAAGTCTGATCGGATAATAATTTATTCAATTGAAACGTCTCATATGCATATATTTCTTTCTTTATTTCATTGAGCCCTTTTATTGACTGTACATTTAATTAGTTAAATGCAATTATTTTAATTGCGGAATTTGTAACTTTACAATAATTTAATCCGCTAAATGCCTACAAATTATTGAGGCGATAATGATTTATATTAGAAATTAATGAGCAACTTAAACGTCAAGAAAACAAAAATTCGTTGTCTTCGTTAGAAGTTATTAATACGATAATTATGTTTAATATAATTTTATGTACAGTTGTTGTAATGCAATTAAAAGAAACAATAACTTAAACCTTCGTCCTATCTAGTATAATCAAGATATTTACTAATGAAATTGTCTATAATAAATATCTAAGCTCTGTACTAAATATAACGGAAAGTTATGTTACTTTTACTTAGGCTCTCACTGGTCCTTTATCTCTTTTATTTGATTGCAAATTAATTTTCTATAATATTTTCATAATTAAAAATTTGCTTTTATATAATACGTTTAATATGGTCAGATATATATTTTTCGTATACAGGCGGACGGTATGAAGATTGTAGATGTGCGAGAGGCCATACGGTTCAGCCGCGACTACGCGCTCCGTAATGGGCCGATCGTAGTCGAAATCGTAACCTATCGTTACTTCGGACACAGCATGAGTGATCCTGGTGTAGGATACCGCACCAGAGAAGAAATCAGATCTGTGCAAACCGAGCGAGACCCGATCACATTGTTCAATCAACTGGTTATAGAAAAAGGACTTATGACCGAGAAAGAGATTCAGGTAACATCTAAGTGACTTTCAATTTACATATTTCGCGAATAGAACGATTTTAAGAAGTTCGGAGAAGAGTCGAGCGAGAAACCTCGAATTCATTTAAATTTTATTTAACTTGGTCGAGAAGCTCGAATTCGAGTATGAAATTTAAATACATACTCTCTAAATTTCTTGGAGTGAAATTTAGTCAAAATGTGAAGTGGTCACTGAGTAATTCGCATTTGAGTGATTTTTCACTCATATAGAGGGAATTCTCCACCCTCAATCGTCGAATGAATATTTCCACTTGAAATTGAAAAGTGAATCTGATGTATTTCATCGTCAAAGGTATATATCAATGTATTGCTTGACAGTACAAGCAGAACAAAAAATCAAATTCCAGCCTAACTGCAATCACATAAAGACATGTTGAATCGGACGAAATTTGTGATTTTTGGAAAATACTTTAGAATTATTTCCAAAGAACATCTTTGCTCATCCATTAATTCGGAACTTGCATTACTAAATTAATCTAGTATACATTTTTTATAGATAAATAGTGTTTCGAAAAGAATCTATCGATCTTTTCGTCAACCAATCAGAAAAAGAACAACAAAAAATTACGATAACGTTAAAATAATGTCAAAATAATAAAAAAATTATTTAAAAAATTCACTTTTCAATTACGATTCAATTATTTTCTCATTTTGACGTTATCCTGATTTTCTATTCTACTCGGGAAATGTGTTAACTCAATTAAGTATCGTATATAGGCGGCCGGTAGAAATTAAACTGGAGATTAAAAGACCAGAGCGAGCGCTATTCCGTACACGTTTACGATAATTGTTGGTTGCGCAGATATAATCATATCATAAAAAAGTTGCGCAACGACACAACCGATAGTTATAAATATATACTACTGTGTCCAAAAAGTAAGACCAATTTAAAATTTCTTTTTTAAATCTTTATTTATTATTCCAAATCTATTTCGTCGCCTTCAAAGTAATCCCCCTCAGACACAATACACTTATGCCAACGTTTTTTTCAACCCTCGAAACAATTGTTAAAGTCGATTTCCGGAATGGCCTTCAAAGCTTTCTTCGATTCAGCTTGTATCTTTTCAATCGAGTCAAAACGGTGTCCCCGGAGCGGTATTTTGAGTTTAGGGAATAACCAGAAGTCACACGGTGCTAAATCAGGTGAATATGGTGGTTGTAGAACGATATGGGTCGAATTTTTAGTGAAATGGTCTCGAAGAACCAATGCAGTGTGAGATGGCGCATTATCGTGGTGCAAAAACCAAGAGTTGTCTTTCCACAATTCCGGTCTCTTTTTGCGAATAGCTTTACGCAAACGACGCATAATTTTACACAGATGTCTGTCACAGTGCTACCAATTTAGAAAAAAAATATTCCTGACATTCGATATACCCGCGCAATTTAACTTGAAAATTGGTCTTACTTTTTGGACACAGCAGTATGGCCTCTAAATCTATTAAAGTCTGAAACGTTTCAAAATATTCTATCTATAAATTCGTGCGATAGTAACATACTTGCATTAGTACGTAAAAAAAAAGAAACTATTGACTAGCACCTGGATCACCAGCACGAGTTTTGATTGGCTTCTGCCTTTCCGTTTTGGGCTTTTCTGTCAAAGTGTAAAATTCGCTTTTAGATTTGTTGCGAACTGGTACTGATTTTCGGTACTGTTCGGTATTAAAAATTGGTATTTATTTTCAGCGATATAACAGTATAGAATCAGTACTGATTTTTGGTACTAATTTCAGTATTATTGTTATAATACTGTTTGTCTATTGTTATAGTACTTATTTTTCGAGTCTTGACCTATTGTTATCATCTCGATATTCAATCAAATCGGCATTGATATACAGTATTATGTTAATATTTTATACTACAAATAGATAACAGGTCAGTAGTTATCTCCTACTTGGACAGTAACTTTTTTTTAGAAATAGAACGTAGACTACGTTCCTTATTACGTTCCTTATTAGAAAGTTATAAACATTCAAATGCTTTTCCTAAAAAATCTTATTATTGATATTTAAAACATTTGTAAACTATGCATCAATAACTTTATAATAAGGACACCACGTTTTGTCTATTCTTAAAAAGAATCTCTCAACACACACATTACTGAACTAATGATGCGAACTTGATATTTACTTAATATATAATCGATCGAGACATATACTCATATGAAATCTACTTTAAGTGTGAGTGAAATATTCACTTTTGCGATTTTGAGTGACAGTATTTTTATTTTTCATTCATTTTAAATGAAATTTCTCCCCATAAAATTTAGAGAGTACATGATAGATAAGTATTTATATAAGTTATTGTAAAGACGGAAATTATGTCTCTAAATTTTAATTTATGACACGAAACTATAACTATCTGCTAATATATATATATATATATATATATATATATAAAATGCTTGAATTAAATTTTGTTAAACGATCAGGATATACGAACATCGGTCTACAAGCAGATTGACCAGGAAGTGGAGCAAGCCAAGGCCGATATGTGGCCGGAAATGTCAGAAATCTCAACGAACGTTTATATGAAACCTACAGAAAAAGTGCGCGGTAAAGTTCCTTGGGAGACATTCTAAGAGCGCGAAAATATTTCGTAATTTTCCCGCTTTGAAAATGTTGAAATCATTCTTGTGTTCGGAAGTCGAAATCACGCTCGATGTGTTTGTGGCGATACAATAGTGTACATTTTCAACAAAAATACATTATTTCAGAAGCCAAAGATTGATTTTGATTTCAAATTTTGACTACCCATATTGCACTTTGCTAGTCTTTAGGTATATACTACTCATTTTATTGATGTATCTCAACTTCTTTAGGAACAAATTTACTAAAATCAGATTTATTAAGTTAGATTTATTTATTAAGTTAGATTATTAATTTATTTAAATTATAGAAAATAATTTAATTTTAAAATGACATAAATATAATATCTATCACAATCATTTGATGAAATTTCCTTTTTTTTATGGAATTTTGTGGTGAATGTTTATACAAGATCTTTGTTTATACAAACAAAGATATGCGTTATATCTTTGTATGTGTGTGTCGACAATACTTCAATTAAGAAAGAAAAATTGAATGTAAATCTAAATATAAGAGAGAAGATGATAATATGAAACAAGATGATAAAATATAAAATAGGGCTGATTTCTTTCCTGCACAACCATGCATCAATGTAGTCATTTTGTCAACGGGGTTCAGTTGCCTGGTAGCACAGCGTAAAAAAGAGTCACATATAGGTCGGTATTCATATTTGGATCTTATATATGAGATTGTCGTATGTTTACTAGTATCTTCGGGTACTTCGTAGCCAATGAAACGTTCCATAATCCGTAGTCTGAAGATGAAAAAACAATCTCAAATGTAAAATCTAGCTATGAATACTTGCCATAAAATATGTATCCTGATTAGTAGTTTCTTTCCACGAGAGCTCTCCACAGTCTTCCTGCCAGCCTTCCAATATGAATTAACTTTACCTCCTCAGGAAAAAAATTTACATATCATTATATATAATTATATATGAATTTGTTCATATATGTGACCTCATACATGATCATATCTCATTATATATGTCCATACGTAAAACAAATACTCGAATAAAAAAAGGAAAACATAATTTGATTCAATTAAACGATGGGCTACTACAAACACAAGCATTTACTTCAATTGTATCTTCACAACAGCATACTTTTCAATGTAGATATACAATGTAGATATACATAATTATATCTACAAATATACAGACAAAATGTATATATGAACATTTTTTCCTGGTCGTCCATTCATATGCTTGATTTTAAACATTTTATGAATGAGAATTGCTTTTATTATGAGAAACATTATCCGAAAGTATCCAAAACATATTATCGGAAAGTATCGTACACTTGTAAAATACTTTATTCTAACTAATAATACATCGCTTAACTTTATTCGCTCACGGATGGAGTATATTAATATAAAATTTCAATAGGCTTGAAAATTTGCTTTACTACACGGAAAAAAAGATTTGGTTGAATTAACCAAATATCTGGTCGATTATGAACGATCCAGAAATTCTGATTGAAGTAACCCGAATTTTATTTAAGTTAACAAGATTTTTGGCAGACTAACCATGTCTGGTTATTTAACTAAATATGTCTGGTTCAATCGGAATTTCTGGATCGTTCATATTCGACCAGATATTTGGTTAATTCAACAAAATTTTTTTTCCGTGTATTACTAAATTAATTTTTTTATTTTTTAACTATAATATCCCGATTTTAATGACACTCGGAGAAAAAATATCTATGTTCTCTAAAAGTAACATTTCACGATATATTTTCACTCTTTCTCTCAAAATAAAAAAAAAACACATCTAAACACACTGAGAGAAAAAAATAGTTGAAATAACTATAATCTCACTATATTTTATAGTTCGTTTTGGCCTCAAACATATATTTATAGTTCATCTAAACACGGCATCGATATAGCAGAATGAACACACATTTATAGTCACCATCTTATTACTCTATGTGTATAATAAAGCGCGCTTTGGGAATATAGATGTATCCATATTTTCCAAATATTCCAATTGTATTGACTCTATAATTAATTTTTCTTACCATTTAATATTTGTTACCTTACTATGTTTTTTATTTCAAATAATTATAATTTTTGGTAAAAGTTTTACATGAGTTATACTATGTTTATATTGTAAATATTACAAACATTATGGTGACATTTACTATAAAAAAGATATTCCTAACTATAATCTTTTTACTATGCCATTATAGTTCCAAATATCATACATTTTTCTCTCAGTGCAATATATTCTATACATATACCAGGATACATATTTTAAAACGGTTTTCCTTATTTTGTTATTACGAAAGAACGTATGATTGATATATGAAATAATATCAAAATGATATCATAATGATGAAAAAATAAACGATCTATGATTAAAAAGTTTTTTCATTATTTTATCGTCATTTTAACATTATTTTGACACATCATGATTTTTGTCCTGTCTAGGATCGCTCGATCAACGACACTAACTCGATAACTTGATCGAAATTAATTTCAATGACACTGAGTTTGAATTATTTAATCTTAATTATGCAGATTTAATTGCCGGACACTTGTCTTGTGTGGCGTGCGCCAAAAAGTAGATTATTCTAAACGATGACTTTCTACGTTCTAAACGTTGATGACTTATATACTGAGAGAAAAATGTTTGGTATTTGTAACTATAATCATATAGAGAAATAATTATTGTAAATTATGGTCAAGATAACCATTTTTTAGTCAATTGCACTATAATTTTAGTGATAATCTTATATGCATGTTACTGCTGCTTCGTGTTGGAACAACTACCCAATTTGGTGCCAATTATATTTTTTGGTTGTTCCAACACGAAGATAGTAGTAGTAACATGCATATTAATATAAGGTTATTATCATTAAAATTATAGTGCAATTGATTAAAAAATGGTTGTCTTGATCATAATTTATCAGTAATTATTTCTCTATATGATTATAGTTACAAATACCAAACATTTTTCTTTCAGTGTACGTGATCTATCGTGAAACGGGTCTATCTGAGTGCAATGTTAATGAGTAGTGTTAGTATGACAAAACAGAGATATACGCACTGTATCCTTCTTTATCTTTTTTATCTCAATTTACTTCCGACACGTACGACTGATGGAAAGTTCCACACGATCGAATGGATCCGATATTCTATGTCGATCTAAGTGCATCTTACGTAATCGTGTGAAGTGGAGGAGAGGACAGGAAATAGACGAGGTCTCGCAGTGTGTGTGCATTCCGACAGAAACGATCGATCAGGGGCAATGATCGTTAGGAGCGACGAGCAGGAGCATACGGAGGAAATGAGCCGGCGAAATGGCAAGGGAGATGGACACGAGTGAGTCAGAAGACTTATGAAGAGAGGCGTAGGAGAAGCTCCGAGCTGAGGCGAGACTCGGAGGGCCAGACGAAGTCGCGTGAATGTCTCGGCGGGAGTCGCCATACGTCGCTCGCACGTGGCACGTCGTGTTAATTGAATTCTAACGAGACATAGTCGCGGCGACATAGCCGAGGAACAATATCGAAGAGGTCGCGGACTCGCTTCGTCGGAATCGCTTCGGAACCCGTTCGCACGCGAAAATTCTTTTGTTTATAGTGCACTCGTGTTGTGTGGTCGCCGATTGTCGCCGGCTCATGATCGTTAATAACAATAGTCACGAGCGATGCACTAGCAGGTACCGTATTCTCTGCTTCCTCTGCAAATTTCCGCGAAACGCGTCGCTATAATTATGATTCTGTCATTTTTGTCGTCGTCGTCGTACGACAGACTGGTGTAATTTCGATGTAATTAAAAGTTCAACGATTAAATGTCACGTTCTTTTCAAACGAAAACCGTGACGACGGGCGGTGCCTGAGGAAGAAAGTAGCAAATGCGGGAAGAACGAGTAATTTAAGGCCGTGAACGCTCTCAATTGTCACAAGTCTTTAATGAAATCCAACGGCCGGCGACAAACCTCGGCCGCGTCATCGACCAGAAACGCTCGAAGAATTCTTCGCCGTGCCCTCGAGTGCATGACAATAACTCTGTTAACTTTGACAAGTCGAGGAGGTAATATTAAAGACCATTGGTCTTATAGGATTTAGCGAAACAGAAGATAATTCGCTGTTTAATAATCTCCTATTGATAAATTTTGTGTTAAATTAACAAGATTGTATAATACATTTCAAAATTACTACAATCTACAAGGATTGTTTACGTATTTTCTACATAATGTTTATGTATACAGGGTGTCTCACACTCTCCTCCGGACATTTTATGGAAACGTAGAACAGGTTGTGGTGAACATAAAAGTCCTATACCGTTTTGCGATATTCGCTATAATTATCGAGATATTAATTGTAGAAAATTTGTGAATGATTATGCAGGATATGGTAAATGAGTTATAGTAGCGACGACTGCCGTCGTATACTTATATTTTAGGTCAAATTGAACAAAAAAGTCCTCTACCATTTTCCAAATAATCACATAAATTTTTAATTATTAATTAAAGAAGATGAGTGCATTATCACGCAAAATCGTGCAATAATATTCTTTAATTAATAATTAAAAATCTATGTGATTATTTGGAAAATGGTAGAGGACTTTTTTGTTCAATTTGACCTAAAATATAAGTACACGACGGCAGTCGTTGCTACTATAACTCATTTACCATATCCTGCATAATCATTCACAAATTTTCTACAATTAATATCTCGATAATTATTGCAAATATCGCAAAACGAATATAGGACTTTTATGTTCACCGCAATCTATTCTACGTTCCCACAAAATGCCCGGAGGAAAGTGTGAGACACCCTGTACACACACACACATACACATGTATATGTACATATACAAGGAGGCACAAGGCAATTCTAATGGCAACTCTAAGATTTAAACAAGTTTAAAAGTTATTAAAAATAAATAAATCAATTTGATTGTGCACCAAAAGGTGTATAAGGAAATACAAGTTTTACCGTGAAAGAATAATTTAAAAGGACGAAGTTATTGTTTTATTGAAAGCGTGTATTAACCTCATTATGCTTCTTACGAATTATGATTCTTCTGAGGTAAAATGGAATATTTCACAAAACTTGTGTATATTTATTTCTCAATCATTGATTTTAAAAAGAGATTCATTAAATCATGCAATATATAAAAATGTGTTATTGCATGTTTAATTATTTATAATTATTTATTAACAACACTTTTTTATAAAATGATAAAACTATATTCTTCTCTTATTAAAATATTAATGATAGTTATTATTTAGTATAATAATTTTTATTAATTTTCTGAAACATAGCACATGATAAAAAATAATGCAACTTAACATTTTAAGAGCATAATGGTATAATTCTTGAAGTATATAAATTTGAATTACTCTTGTCAACAAAATTATCGCATAGGTAAATTCATATCAAAATTTCGCACAGATTTAAATGAGTATAATACCGCGAAACATTATCCTATTTGAAATCTTTTTTTTTTTTGTTTTAAAGAGTAAAGTACTTTAAGGAATATTCATCCGATTTTTTAAAATTTATTCTCTCCCCTTCCTACAGTCTTTTCAAAAGTAAAGACGTGTTGCGTCTCTAAAAAATTGCATAATTTGACGTATCCTACGGGGTGGACTAAATTTTTTTTGCAAATTTCATGATAACCATCGTAAAGTATAGACTTTCCCCTACAATTTAAAAAAAGTTGGACTTTTTCTCGCGGAGTTGCGATATATCAAAGTTATCTATGCATTTTACATAATGCTTTTAAATAAGCATAATATAGCGAAATATTATCGTATTTGAAATCTTTTTTATTTTATTTTATGATAGTTATCGTAAGATTTATGAAAAGAATTCATTCCACTCAGTAGAGTGCGTCAAATTAAACGATTTAAACAAAATGCATAGGTAACTTTGATATGTCGCAACTCCGCGAAAAAAAATCGTACAAATTTACCTAGTTTTTTAAATTGCAGAAGAAAGTCTATACTTTATGATGGTTATCATGAAATTTACGGAAAAATTTAGTCTACTTCATAAGATACGTCAAATTGTGCAATTTTTTGGAGATGCAACACTCCTTTACTTTTGAAAAGACTGCGGGAAGAGGAGAGGATAAATTCAAAATTAGACGGATGCTCCTTAAAGTACAGACTTCACTCTTTAAAATGAAAAAGAAGATTCCAAATATAATAATGTTTCACGGTATTGTACTCATTTAAAATTGTGCCAAATTTCGACATGAATTTACCTTTGCGATAATTTTGTTGATGAGTGTGTATATATGTATACACACACACACACACACACACACACACACACACACACACACACACACACACACATACATACATACATACATACATACATACATACATACATACATACAAGGAGGCACGAGGCAACTTACTGGCAACTCTAAGATATAAACGAATTTAAAAAATATTAAAAATAAATAAATCAATTTGATTGTGCACCAAAATATTCTTTGAATTATCGACTATAAGGAAATATAAGTTTTACCGTGAAAGAATAATTTAAAAGAGCGAAATTATTGTTTTATTGAAAGCGTATATTGACTTCTTTGTACTTTTTATATAAGGTAAAATGGAATATTTTACAAAACTTGTGTGTGTTTATTTCACAATCATTGATTTTAAAAAGTTTTTAAAAGAGACTCATTAAATCATGCAATATATAAAAATGTATTTTTGCATATTTAATTATTTATAATTATTTATTAACAACACTTTTTTTATAAAACAATAAAACTATACTTTCCTCTTATTAAAACATTAATGATAGTTATTATTTAGTATAATAATTTTTAGTATCAATTTTCTGAAACATAGCACATGATAAGAAATAATGCAACTTAACATTTTAACTCTTAAGTACTGACACAGATCTACAAAAATATTTCGAAGTTGGATAATTACCTGAGAAAGCGAAACGTCTTTCGTTGTCGCCACTTCGTATCTTATGGGCCAAAGAAAAGATAGACGGACGCGATGTATATACGCTTAAGCGGGAGTGAAACAGCAATAAGTTTTTTTATTTCATTGGGAGTTTATTAGACTCCTGTCAGTGCTTAAGAGTTAAGCAGATAATGGTATAATTCTGTTATATCTCAAAGTATATAAATTTGAATTATATAGTACAAAACATCATAGATAGTCGATATATGTGCACATTTAATTAAAATGACTAAGAAAAATTGTCTAATAACTTTAATATATACAATAATATAAAACTTTAATATAACTTATAATAATAATAAATTAATATAACTTTAATATATACGATAATATAATATACGATAATATAAAAAAGAATCTTATATCATTGTTTACCTTATGCAAATGTACCAAACAAATTGCAATAAAATTGTGGAGAACGCAGCAAACGCATTAACGCAGTTTATAGCATCTTTCAGCTAAAAATAATATGACGATTGATAACAACACGTGGTAAGAGGTATTTAACAATAATAAATGCGAAATATTTTATTACATGGCAGCGTCTCTATAAAAAGTTATCGATCACATCCTATTATGCCTCGCAGTCCCGTTATGCATGTATGTGTGTGTACGTGCGTGTGTATACATATTATACATACACATATGAATGTTTTTCATGTATAGACTACATAAATTATATAGAATATTGCAAATTAAATTAAAATATACAAAAAATGATAATAAAATTATAAGATGATTACCATTATTTGTCTTGAGTGTTAATTATAAGTATAATGTTTAAAAGAAATAATGTAACGTTTAAAAGAAATTATATAGTTTTTGTTTCATTAGTAGCCCTTTTTATGGTCCCCTCAAAACTCTACAACTTTTATATTAAATAATTTTAACATATATTTTTAAAAATATTGAGGTGGGAACACAACATTTCATTTTACAATGAACACCCTGTATACGTTGCAAATGTAGAGTATCATAATTTATGTCTAAACGTCCAATCCTACAAATTAACGCGCAAATGAAAATTTATATAATAACTGGAGAAACGCAGTATTATAAAAATATCTAATAAATGGTAATTTATTGTAGATCTATATACATAGTGATAAAGCATCAATAATAATTGTAGATTATAAAACTAATATCGGTTGAGTATAAATGGTCGATAATATCATACTTCTTCAATTACTTTCATGTTCCTTAAGTCTCTTGGTAATTACGAAAATTTATCCAGCGTCGAAGTTCAGTAAACATCAACTAACAGTAATATTACATTAATATTATAATTTTCCACTCAACAATATAAATTCAATATAATATGTGTTATAAGTAACAGTTTCATTGCTGAATAGGAAATTACAACATTAATGTAGTGTTATTTTTAGTTAATGTTTACTGGACGTTTTCTTTACCTTTATTACCTTATTAGTGATTTCGATGACGTCGAGTCTTAATTCTATTTTCAGATATTTAATGGGTGCAAAAAATGTGTTATCCTAAACGACGATTCTTTATATTTCGAATGTTTGATTTATTCGTTATCAAATATTTTTATCGTTATCAAATATCAAATCATTTTTTCCTCGAACGGGAATGAATATGTTGACAACTTAATAATATGAAACTTTATTAATGAAATTTTGTAAAAGACAAAGCCATAAAGCTATATATAGACTTAATAATAACCTTACATGCAGCCTTAATTAAGTTACTAACATTTTTTAATAAGGAAAGATCTCAAAGTATTTCATCGATTCTGAATTTAGACTAGTACAGAATTATTTTAAGGGGTTTTAAATAATACAAATTTCCGTTTGTACTTCCTATCTTTGCGTTTAAAATAAATAGCAGCATGTAAAATTTTATAATTTTCATTTTAAATATTATTACAATATTCGATTCATATATAGTAGTTTTAAAAAGAAATGTTATTGTACATATTTGGATGTTAAATGAGTACATCAACTTTTAACAAAAACATTTTGTTATAAATAATTCAATGTAATAATAGGAGAGTAACAATATTTCAACTTTGTGAGATAAAAATTTTTTAAAATATCTCTATCTAGTAAATTCTACGCTCTAGTAAACTCGCGCTATAGAAAAATATAAAATGTATTTGGTTTTATAAACAATTATAAAACAAGTTGATAGAATTTCTATTCCATATTTTTTAAAGTAGGACAAGCTAGAATAGAGGTTGAAAACAAGATTAATCTTATGTAAAGATTAATTTTATGATAAAGTCAAAATAATGTCAAGATGACCAGAAAATGAGTAAAAAACTTATTTTTCATTTTAACTTAAATTATCATGATTTTTTCTCTTCTATTTGAGTTATAGTTTTATCCCAATAAATATCAACTGACAGTAATATATCAATATTGTAATTTTCCACTCGACAATGTAACTGTTACATATTATTATATATTATATGTTATATTGCATTTATATTGTTGACTGGAACATTATAATATTAATGTAATTTTACATCAATATTACATTAATGTAATATTATACTGTTACTGTTTATTGGTATTTATTCATATATCACTTGGTGTTTATTGGATAATTATTACTCACACAGCATAAAAATATTACATCAACATCAAATTTAATTCGAGGTTGCCTTGTGATTAAATTAATTTCATTTCAATATCTGTCAAGATATAAATATCTTACCATTTTAAGCTAACGTTTTAGTAATATTAACGTGTTGCTATCCAATAAAGGGCATTATAACATTGTATACTATTATAGAAATATTTTAGTAATAATATCATTGACTTTGGTACTATGTGAACTGATAGTAAAGTTTTCATTTATTTAATCCTGATATACTTATTTTATACATTGAATATATATTATCAAAACATTGATTTAAACTTTATTAAGTCACTTATTGTAAGTTGTAACTATTATTCTCTTTTTTGCTTTTAACATGGTTTTCGTGTATAATTTTGAGAAATTATTAGAAAATAAATTAATGTATGAAATTGTATCGTAAATTATATACAATGTAAAATTACATTGTAAATATAATTATATTACATATATTATATTATATAGTATATGTAATATTAATAATAACATATTGATAATATTAATAATAACATATTGATTAAATTTTCCAGTATATTTAGACGCTTAGTGTTACTATTAAGGTTAAATAATCAATAAATAACTAATAATTCAATAATCAATTATTAAAAAATGTGTACGATTGGAAAAACTTAATAATGCAGATGCATGTTAGGACTATTATATCGGCCCATGTATAGTTAGTTTCAACACAGTTTAGACATTTTCTTGATATAAGTTGGAGTGTAGTCAATAATCCAGTAAGAGAGCAGAAGGAGTTACAGAATCGTGACAGGAAAAACAAGTTCTCTTATTAGATCATTGAATACATTCAAAAATGCATCGAGAAAAGAAAGTATTCAAATAGTATTAAAAGCAAGTATACCTAAATTAAGCAAGTATACGAAATTAAGATTTTTGCGATAAACACACATATGTGCTCACGTTACGTGTGTAAACATTGTACAATATGAAACTTCTAAATGCAGAATGCATTGTTGCTGGATATACGAATGAACATTTGAGAGTGTGATAAGACCTTATCTGCAGTATATCCTGTTAATATATCCTGTGTGATGACTGAATTAGTAGAAGGTCATCGACAAGAGGTTCTTTTTTATCACGGAAATGGCATATAAGTGTATACGTTTTATGTGCTCGACGCATACAATCGTTTGTCAGTTGAAACTATAAATATTTTCAGAGTAATGCGCGCAATTTGGGGATGTTGCGACAAATAATCATGTTTACGTCATTGTCCGTATCACGTAAGTTCTCTCGGTGAAAGATCTCAAATTTGTGCGAACTGTGACCACCTTTTACCATCGCGAAACAACGAATGCCGGCAATAATAGCAACACCAACAACAATGGAAATGGATGCAAACATCAACGACATATTATGCGGTATGTAAGTACGAGAGACGTTTAAATAGTACGCGGCTTCTCAAATAGGACAGGAAAACACGATGACGTTAAAATAACGAGATCATTTTTTCAATCATGGTTGAATCATGATTAAAAATCCCATGTAGAACAAACAATATAAATCAACAATCAATCTAACACCAATATAAACAAACAAATCAAAATAATGTCAATTTAACGTTATTTTGACTAAATATTGACTAAATTTACGTCATTTTTTGGTGAAAATGACGTGAGATTGACATTATTTTGACTATATGTTCTACCTGGGATCATGAGTTTTTTAATCATTTTCTCGTCATTTTGACATTATTTGGACGTCATCATGATCTTTTATTCTGCCTAGATTAATATAGAGAGGTAGCATGAATTCGGTTAAATCTTCATTACTATATTTTAAAACCTTCCTTTATTAGGTTAAGTATGTATTCTTTTATTAGGTTAAGTATTAGGTTAAGTATGACAATACATTGAGAAAAAAGTAGTTGGACTGACAAAATCGACGGTCACCGGCCATCAAAGAAATATTGTATCTATTCAATAACATATGCGTTGGTACAAAGAAATATTGTATCTATTCAATAACATATGCGTTGGTACAATATGTTGCGTTGAAATCGCAATATTTGCATTACTATAGTAATATCAACTTATTGTTGCACTAATGTATATTTTGTTGAATAGATCCAATATTTTTTTGATGGCCGGTGGCCGCCGATTTTGTCGATCTAATCGATTTTTTTGTGGAATAGTTTTTATTTGATAACGTGCCAAAGTGAACTTTGCAAGTGATGGGTTTTGCGTTTGTTCACATCAGTGAATACTAAACTGAACAGTTTCAGTGTTTCTCATATCTTTTGATACGATTTTATCACAACCTGAAAAATAATTTGCATCGATTTATAAGCATGTTCTTGAAACTTGGGTCGACTACTACACTCTCTTTAAAAATGAAGGAACAGTCCAAACAATGAATATAGAGGTATTCGAAGTGTGCATTTTAACGTACTGTCAAATAAATATTAATCGACAAATGGCTTTACATTTTATATTATCGCTAATCGCGTCACACTTAACCTAATAAAAGAAGGTTTTGAAGTTTAGTAATGAAGATTTAACCGGTTGAATTCGCACTATCTTTGTATCAAGCCGTGTATTTTTTAAACGTCCTTTGTACAACAACAAAATACGTCTTGCGAAAAATTTCTCCGTACTTTTTATTTGTTTCAATTTATCTCTTTATACATTCCTTATTTACACCGATTATTTAATACGTATACTAACTGGTAATTTCATACTAAATTATTTTCATTTCGATAATATACATAAACGAAAGTTTATTAACAGAGTGTTGAAAGTACATTGTGACACAATATTACATTCGCTCTTGTATAGGTAGAATTCATCAAATGAATAAAAACATCCTTTACTATTTTGTGAACAAACACGATAAATATTGAAATATTAAAAACTGTGTACACACTTTTACGATCCAGCATTACGCATCGCCTGCTGTTGCAAGGACTCAAGTAGTACAGAAAATCACGATGACGTCAAAATAACGAGAAAATGATCGAAACATGATCAAAAAATGAGCTTCTCAGCCATTTTCTCGTCATTTCGACATTATTTTGACGTCATCGTGATTTTTTGTTCTGTCTGAAGAAAGTGTTAACAGTTTCAGACTTGGGCGGCTCTATCTAAAAAACTTATCTCATTGCATGACGTATATCTCATTCGCTAATTTTCTTTAATTGTTATCAGTTATTCTCAATAATTCTCAATAATTATTCAATATCAATTGTTCTTTGCAAAATAATAAAGAATTTTTTTTTATTTAGTTTTGAGTTTTACTTATACAAGAGCAAATATATATCTTGTGTTAGACACCCTGTATATTGCATTTCGTAACTCTCTGAATTCAGTTCTTTCTCACACAGACTTTAAACGCTGGAATTCTGTTAACAGAAGTAATAACATTCTTGGAATGTCTCCGGGACGCGCAACTCCAACCCGCGCTGGAGAGCTTGCGGGAGAAACTGCTGCAACGCTCAAAAAATACCCTAAGCGCTATCAAGAAGACTTCCTCGTCTCCGGAACCTTATCTGGACATGAACTCCGGTCCAAAGACCATACTGCTCACGAAAAACGAGAACGATACGGAAGAATACGTAGGTATGGAAGAATCCCCACAGAAGCAAAACCATCAAGATTACTATGAGACTTTCGAGCACGAGAGCCAGCCCAAGATGGTACTAATCGCGGCTGAGAACGTGGAAAGAGCTCGGAGCGAACAGGACAATGAGGAAGGTAATCAGGCGTTGATGAATATCTATAAGAATCTATCGGCGGCGCAGAGCAAGAGCAAGTGCCACAAGTGCGGTCCGTTGCACCGGAAGGAAGGCAAGAAGTTATTCATGCCGGAGAACCGTGCCTGCTGGGTCGCACTAGTGGGCTCTCATTTGTTGATCTACCGTAACGAACGGCACGCTCGACCGGGCACGATCTACCCAATTCGCGGCTACATGGCGCGACCGGCGCCGAATCTGCTGCCCCGCGATCAACAGAAGAGCGACTCGGCCTTCGAGATCTTTTGTCCAGGCAACGAGACATTACAGTTCATCGCGAGGACATCGAAGGACATGCATCAATGGGTAGCGAAGATTTGCGAGGTTGGTTGCGGCAACGAAGACGAAAAGGACCTTGGGAACAAGAGCAACGCGAGCAACGAGGCCTCGGTGAATCATTGCGAGGATAACGCGACTAGCCCTCGACGTCATAAAACCGGCAAGTCGGCTGACAACGTGAAGAAGAAGTCGCCAGCCAAATCAAAGACGAAGAGCAAGGCCAGGAAGGACACGACGGAGAGCCCACCATCGCTACCCACTCGGATACCACGAAGACTGCCTTCTATACCTACCAATGACTCCGTGCCTTCTCATAAACCCATCGAGATCTACGATGACAACGATGATATTTACTATAGGATCGATGAATTGAATGGCAGGACGGCTTATCAGAATGTAATGTTGGCGAAGAACCAATGCATCAATGTCGGCGATAATGAGCATGGGAAGGCTGCCGGGTACGATGATGTGTGCGCGTCCAAGGGAGAAAAGGAAAGTCAGGTGCAGGAGGAGAAGTCCGCGGTATCAGGCGAGGAGAAGTTGTATGACGATATCTTTGAAATGTCGCGGATCAAAGCGAGCACCGAGGAAGAGAAAGTGCAGGACGGCGATCGTCCTATCGCCGTTGACGATGGAGAAGAATCCGTTTACGACGACGTAGAGGTGAGTTTGTAATTATACAAACATTAATATACAAGACTCAATAAATTATATATTTCATGTTTTCTTAATTACATTAAACATTTTATAGATTTAGAAACCAAGACGAAATTTTTCTGGAAATTTTTATGTATGTTTAATATGTCCATTTTGTATATGATTTACACAGAACGTCAAATTTCATACATTACATTATATATAAAAATCTCATACACTACATTAATAATATTTAGAACAAAATTTGTTTATGCTTATAATACGAGTACATCATAGCGTAGTTTATTAAAATTGGAAATATACGTAATATGAAATATATTTGCATCTGCGAGATGTTCCTCAAACTAATGTATGCATGATGTGCTTTCGGGAGAAAATAATTATATACAATTATATAAAATTATATATGATTATATGTAAATCATATATAAATTTTTATATGGTTACATGTATAATCATATATGTCCACATAGAAAAATATAATGTTAAATAAAAAAGAGAAGAAATAATTTCATTCAATTAAATGTCAATAATCATGTATTGCCAAAAGCATAAGTATTTATTTCGATTTTGTATAATATTATTTTTTTCGTAAATATAAATAATTATGCATGATTATACATGGCTATATAGGGGAAGAAGAGAGGAGGCAAAATTCATATATGATATTTTTTCTTTGGATATTATTGTTACATATTATTACGTATATTGGGGAAGGATATATTATAACAAGAAGATCAAAGTTGTTAACTATAAATAAAAAAAACGTAATACTCTACAGATGTTGTAAGAAATATTTAACATATTATATATTTAACAAAAATATTTAATATATAATATTTAATATATAATATTAATATATAATTTATAAATATATTATTATTAAATATTTAGTAATTTTAATTAATCAATTTTAAAATTAATTAATATATAATTAAACGTCCTGGGAAAAAAGTTCATATATAACCGTATAAAAATAATTATATATGATTATGTAATTATATATAAATTTTGTCCATATATATGTGACCTTATATAAAATATCAAATTATATACATACATAAAATACTGTTGAATGAAAAAAAACATAATTTGATTTGTCATTTAAAACATTATTTGATAAAAGTCAATTAAACGTTGACATTATGGGCTACCACATAAGCATTTACTTCAATTGTATTTTAACAACAGCATTATTTTTAATGTAGATATATATAATTATATGTGATCATGTATGGCCATATATGGATAAATATATAGTTCATATATGAATAAATATGTGGCCATGTATGAATATTTTTTTCCCGGAGTTACATATAATTAATAAGAGATATTAGAGACAAAGCAGAATATATAAAAATCTGTAATCTTAGATAGTTAAATATACAAAAACAGTGTTTGCTGCAAACTTTATCGGTAGTTTGTTAGCGGAAGTACAATAGGATTTACTAGTAGAGAATAATGACAGATTGAAAATAGAAATCGAGCTGGATCTGTTGTTCTGTAACCATTAAACGTATTTAAATATATTTAAATATAAATAACGGAATATACTATAATCCTACTTGGTTTCTGCCGCTAATCTGTTATTAAGTTGTGTCAGTTTAAGCTTGTGTTCTATTGACAGACTTCGTCAATACGGATACAGATTCAGATGCTTAATACGGATACATATGACTATAGATCTGACATTCTGATTTAATCTGCTGTTAATTTGCCAACATACTATTAACATTTTGCTTATGGGATATCTATGACACACTTAGCATAGTGTATATATTGCTTCTGTTAAAATTGCTAAAAACGTTAAAAGTATAATTTTTTCAGTATCAATATTGTTTTAAAGAATCAGATTAGTGTAGTCTAATTAAAGTAAAAACAAAAAACAAAATTTTATAAAAATATGTACTGACTTATAACAGATAGGTTAATACTTCAATTAATGTAAAGTTCCTAATAATGAAGCATTTTATGAGTGTTAAAAGAGCAGGATACTTCCATATTCGTGTTAGTATATTTAGCTATACGAATAAGATATTTAGAATTTGTTTCAATTAATTCTGCCAGTTGTGGGTTACGTATACTTTCTGGTTGTACTTGGATAAGTTTCCCGATATATTTTTCCAAGTATGTTGTATTACGTAACCATATCAAATCCATATCGAAAAATTCTATATAGCCTTTTGCATCAATTAACTTTATTAATTGCAATTCACACAGCAATTTAAGATCTTGTACGTCATATTTATCAGCTACTACAAAAAGTTCAGATAATGTTTGTATATCATCTATTACAAGATTAGGTAAAAGAGTGAATTGTATGTAAGATAGAAACAATTTTAGAATGTTATATTTGATATCAGTTATTTCCACTTCATTTGTTTCACTTTCCTTCATTTGGGAATTAAACATCTTATCGAAAACTGAGCTTTTTGAACATATTAAATTTTTGTTTGCATACAACCGCTCATCGCCTATCACGAAAATAACAAGTGACTCTTTATCAGGAATCATGTCGTTATTTTTATTGCTACTTATTTGCATTTCTTCATTAAACTGTAAATTTGTACACATAACTGTTTCACTTAAAACATCGTACCATTTACATTCAAAGCGTACGGTAAGAGTATTATTAGGTAGACAATTTGCGTTTTCTAAGAGATATATGATAGGTATACTACATAAAAGTTCATTTTTTATATACGTAATATTGTGTTCATTAGCTATTACTTTTAATTCTTTATAAAAATTTATAGTAGTATTTTTTATAAAAATGTGACAGGAACCTATGTACCATTCTTTGAAAATTATATAAAATTTTAAATGCTCTTTGTTGTCATCGGTATGTAATCGAAAGTGAAAAAGTTGTGATTCAATCCGTGGACTTTCTAAAGGAAGCATCATGTATTCACGCCAAAAGTTAGTAATGTCCCATGTATAAGTATATGTTTGTGATAGTCTTTCTGTTCGGCAATAACTAAGAGTATGATTACTGTTAATGTCGGAACGCATTTCTTCCCTTGTCAATCCTGTAAGAAATGGAAGTATTAAGTAATATTTTTATAAGAATTTTGTGATTCTTAAAATATTTCATGCAGAAACATCTTTATAAAACTGAATAACAATAAATATATTGAATAGATATGTGATAATAGATATGTGACATGAAATGATATGTGGTATATTTAATTTTATAATTTAATGTCATATATCTATCCGCACAAATTGTTATCTTCCCACAAATTTTTGAATGTTTATATATGAAAGATATCTTTTTATGTTATATCACCCCATATACTGGAATCTCGTACTTGTTAGATTCAGTAATAATACGCAAATTGTACTCGCTATCACGTTTTGCACATCCCTTTTTGAAGAATCACCATCACAAAGAATGCTAGAATTATATCATGAGAAAAGTCAGATATAATGTAACTAAAAATAAACACGTGGTTTTTCTAAGTGGAAATTGCCCACATAATAAATGTATAATTGTATTCTATTTGTATTCTATTTTATTCTAATAAAATATACTAAGACAGTTATTAAGCCAAAGTTACGCAAGCTGACAAAAATTTGCCAAAGTTGGTCAATATATATAATATATATAGCTATCCTTTTTAGTAATTATATATAAAAGGTTACACACACACAATTTCGGATATTTTTTATTTTAAAATATATTATAAAAGGTGGAATCTATATTTCAAACTATGTTGGAGGTCGCAAAGTTTCTGAAATATATCATTTTAAGGTTTCGCAATTTTACGTTGAATTATATTGAAAATTTCGCTATTTTTCATTACTGTCACTTCAAACATATTGTGCGCTATTTTACAAATCGTTACGTTGTAGAGTTTCTTCATTCAGAAAATTCTTGAATATAATCTTTTTTTCAGGTTTATTTTATTCAAAAATAAAAAACCGTTTAAAGCAAAGAGTTCTCTAAACATTCGATTTTTAACTAATCCAAACTGTATCACACAACTTTTTTGGATAAAAGACAACATTATACAAAATTACATATGAAGACATTTTATCGAAACATGCCAGATAGCTTGTTACTTTAAAATATCGATTGCTTTTATCATTGAATATATGTATTATATATGTTATACTCAGGGTTGGGAACGTTACTTTTTAAAAGTAACGCGTTACCGTTACCGTTACTTGCGGTAAAAAGTAACTCGTTACCGTTACTCGTTACTAATTCTAAAAAATAACGCGTTATCATTATTTGAAAAGTAACGATAAAAAAATCGTTACTTTCCGTTACTTTTGTAAAAAAAAAAGTTAAAATCGGCTTATAAAACGAATAGTAAGAGAGACAGTACATAAATTATACATATATAAAGACAAAATATAAGATATTTAAGTGGGAAGCACACATTCTTGCATAACGACATAAAGCCCATTCTACATTAGTCGCAAATCGCAAGGTCGCAAAGAAATTAACTCATAGTCGATTGTTCTTCTTGCGATCGAAGAATAATCAATTATGATTGGTCAATTTCTTTGCGATTTTGCGATTGCGACTAATGTAGAATGGGCTTTAGGGGCGCCGCACACGAATTGACATAACAGTAACGTAAGACGTACCGTAAAAATGGATCAATTGCAATCGAGTATTCACAAAAATGGCGACCTTACGGTTCGACGATACTCAAAGTGATTGATCAATTCTTACGGTACGTTACTGTTATGTCAATTCGTGTGTGGCGCCCCTTAAGCGTGGTCTACAATGAGAACTTAAGCCATAAAATTTAAGCTTTAAGTTCTAAGCCGTAAGAAGTTGACCAATCACAGTCAATTATAAGAAAAATAATTGACTGTGACTGGTCAATTTCTTACGGCTTAGAGTTTAAAGCTTAAATTTTATGACTTAAGTTCTCATTGTAGACCACGTTTTAGAGGCTTTCTAAAATAAGCAATAAATATTAAGTTGCAATAAAATTGACCAATTACAGTGGATTATCCTTCTAATAGTCAACTGTGATTGGTCAATTTTATTATAACTTAAGATTTATTGCTTATTATAGAATGGAATGCTTTACGGAAAGCAGCACATTAATTGTTTATCGTGTGCAAACTTTCGTCGCGTGGCAAGCGTTGTCGCGTTCTGTGTACAGAAGCCACTATAGTAAAAAAGTAATGATACTAGTAACGATGAATTTCGTTACTCGTTACTAAAGAAAATGTAACGCCATTACTTTTTTGTTACTAATACAAAAAAGTAACGGCGTTACCAAATCGTTACCAAAAAAAAGTAACGAAATAGTAACGTCGTTAAAAGTAACGCGTTTACTTCCCAACCCTGGTTATACTTATATATACAGGATGTTTCATTTTAACTTTCATACCGAAATATCTCGAAATGTACAAAAAATACGGAAAAATGTTTCAAACAAAAGTTATATGGTTCGATGGAGGACATAAGAAAGTACGATTGGTTTGATTTTGGGTGGCGTCGCCAAGATCAGGTCGAGATTAACTTTACTTTTTAAATATAAATATACATTTTTATTACAAAATTTTATTCTACGTAAAGAAACAAACAATTTTTGTTTGAAAAAAATTTTTATACGACCTCTATTTTCTAAAATATTTAAAAAATATTATGGAAATATCTACAAAATTATTGGTTTCAATAATTTTTTACTCGAATTTTATCAACTTTACCAAAAAATAGCGAGATATAAAAATTGTTTATTTTCTTCTCATAGAACTCTGAGAATTTTTTCAGAATTTTTAAATTAACTTTTTAGTACTGCATTTTCTTGTATTTTCTTGAAGTACTAAAAAGTTTATAAAAAATTCTGAAAAAATGTTCAAAGCTCTATGAGAAGAAAATAAACAATTTTTCGATCTGACCTCGATCTGATCTTGGTGGCGCCATCCAAGTTCAAACTAATGGTACCTTCTTATGTCTTCCATCAAACCATGTAACTTTTGTTTGAAACATTTTTTTTCCATATTTTTTATATATTTCGAGATATTTCGGTGTGAAAGTTAAAATAGGACACCCTGTATATGTGTTATACGTTTATTTTGTAAACTCACTTGAATATTTTTGCAAACAATATCCACATGCAATATTGTATAAAAGTCTCGAGGATCAGATATCATTTTATTTTAAAATAATTCATTTAATAATTGACTAAACTTTGACTAAACGACACAATATTTAATATGTTTCATACAGAACTAATTTTACATGACTTGTTGTCTACGCCACGTGAGCTACCGGAAATGTTGTACCTATAATTTAAATCTTCCGAGTAGTTTACGTTGTCATATTAAAAAACTAAATTTGACTTGTCAAATAACATATGTCAAATTTCATAATAGTTATTATATAAAATTATAGTTATAATTATAATTATAAAAGTATTTCATGACTATATGTTTCGTTTTAGAGCCAAAGTATTAAACGGCCTAAACGAAAAATTTAGGATATGTATGTGTATATGTAGGATATGCAGTGATTCACGCAGCACAAAACGTGTTAATAATATGATATTATTAAATTAAACAATTCATAATTACATTAATCAAACTTAACTATCTAAAACTCACACTTTCTATATCCTTTAGTATCGATTTCTTTCGACAATAGAATTCCGTTGGAATCATACTAGTATCACAAAAGAAATAGAACTCGAGTATTTATTACCGTGTTTCTTATAAGTGTTTGTGATGAATTGTTGCTGTGTCCTCTTCTGTGGGCTAAGTTTCAACATATATACACACGCATGCGCGCGCACACACACGTACACATACATACAATATCTTAACATTGTATTTATTTAACTGCTTAGATCGACAAACCATCTACAATCCATGATCTTATAATTTGAATATAAATATGGAACTAATATAACGTTATGAAACTAATTAATAATATATCAGTATAAGTAAAAGTATCAACGACTGTGGACACGTATCTAACTCTGGATATACTTATTAGAGCCGATTGTCCCAATTTCTTGGAATCTACAGTTAAATCATATGTCTATCTCTGTCCAATTTAAAGAAAAAACGAAGACAATCAGCCTTTAGTCTTTAAATACGAATATTTAAACGTTCAACATAGAATATATATATATATATATATATACAGGGTGTCCCGAAACTACCGGATGTTATTTTAATGGCAGATTCTTTAGAACATTTTAAAATGAAAACTTCCATACAAAAATGTCGAGGCTATATTAGATTTCAAACAAGAAGCGATTATATTTCACCAATAACAGGGCTGAGATTTCGCGCGCTCAGGCACGCCGAAATGACAAGTGATAAAGGTGCCACACGCAGTATAGAATAGTGGACACCTTCATGGTAATAATTGATCGACATTTTGACAGATTAAATTGAAATGTCATTTTTACTTGAATCATATTTAAGATATCTTAGAACTGTTATTCATATAAAAAATATACTAATGCAATGCGTAGAGAAGTAGCAAAATATATTATGACAATGTTATTGTAAATTTATACAATAATCATGATATCGTAAAAGAAGTGACATTCATAGGAGCAACTTTATCACTTGTCATTTCCACGTGCCTGAACGCGCGAAATCTCAGCCCTATTATTGGTGAAATATAATTGCTTCCCGTTTAAAAACTATTATAGCCTCGATATTTTTGTATGAAAGTTTTCGTTTAAAATGTTCTAAAGAATCTGCCATTAAAATAACATCCGATAGTTTCGGGATACCCTGTATATATATATATATATATATATATATATATAT